AGAAAATTTTGCGACTTATCATTGTCGCATGAAGTGTTAACGATTATCTTTTTATCCGAAGTATCCATGAGTAAAGCCGTGAACGTAGTGAACGTCTGTACTTGGTTTACATTATGCATGCGTGCATTCGTGCAGACAGGTGACACTGCATTTGAACCTATGCGTACGTATTTCAGTTTAAAAGACTTGTTCTCTTTTTAGGCATCTTTATCGTGTCATGGACGTACATTTGTACCATTTTTTCTTAAAATAAAAAAATACCCATCTGATTATGTATTGTGTGACTATTGGAGAATCAACCAAACCAAATTACGTATGGGTCCAGACGAAATTGATTTGAATGTTCATATGCTTTTTATACAGTACGTTACGTATATTGATATGCTTATATAACATACCGGTATTTTACTATTATGCCTTCTATTCTCATTACTTTCATATTTGTGTCATAAAAAATTTTTAATATACAGTAATATTAGATACTATATATATGTCATACTTATTTGTTTGTTCAGAAATAACCTGCACAATTAGTGACTTTCCGATCGATTAAATTTTCGCTCTGTTTTTAGACGCTCGTATAACACAAATATTTTATGGCGTCAGCAATGATGTGTATCGCAAAATTGAGTGACGTGTGGATTAAAACTCAAGTCACTCGAGTAATATAAAACATGACTTGTTCCTAACCAGTCATGTGTCGTGACGACAGAAATTTAAAGTGTCGTGATGATAAAAATCCGACACCATCGTTGGGACCATGACTGATCTCATGAAGTTAAAACACCTATGTGGTTATTTGTTTTTATTTTATTATTATTATTATTATTTACACAATTCTAGTCTTTCAGAATAAGCAATTGAACTTATCACTTTCATCGAGTATTAGTCATGTACTAATATTTTCATAAGTGATACAAAACACATAAAATGCATATTTAAGAGCCTGAGTATAATAAGGAAACGTTTACCGCTGAAGAATTATTCAAATTGTCTAGGCGTTCAAGGAAGTCAAAAATATGTGTATACGATTACCCAAAAACAAATCTAACGATCGAAACTAACGGATTAACATATAGTAAATTGATACGTACTATGCATTGGAAAGAGGAAATATTCTTGATTCTGCCATTCCATAAAACACTATTAATTAGAAAATATCTTTCTTTTCTATCCAATCGTACATATTTGTGATATTGCATTTAAGCCAGAAAAAAGCCTACTCGTATTAATATAAGTTTATTAGTTCAAGCCGATTGGTAAGACCTTGCTATATGTCGATTATTAACGAAACGATATCCTCACGAAGTTTCTCCATTGCTTGAATTGGTGCTCTCAAAGAATAAACCAAATGCGCTATATGATACCTTTATAAAGACCAATGTTTTAGAACTGATTATCATTTCCCGCGAAAGAAAAACCAAAAATAGCGAGTATCATGATATCCTCTTTTTTCCGATCTAGAGAGGAAAAGATAAATAGAAAAATGTATAACAACACCGTTAGATATCATTACTCAGCATGGGTGCCTCGTGGATCAAGAATAATGGATGAAGACACGTCAGTGAAATCAGTGAATATGGAGGATGAAAATTATGTGAAGCAAGTACGTAAAATACGTATAATTATCACGTGATAATGGAATTCTGTTTCTCCTTTTTTAATGCAATAAAAAAAAAAAAAAAAAAA